CAAAAAAAATAAACTAAAAAACTATGGACCCCTGGTTTGTAAACAAAGACTTCAAAACAGTTAAAGGTATAGAGGACGATCTTTTATTTTCGGGTAGATCATCTAAATAAGTTGTCCTCCTAATTGTCAATCATTCTGGTAAAATGTTTACGTAAGGCCACCCTACGTGCTCGCCCCATTAGCTATCTTTTTGTGTGCATGCACACTTTAAAGCGTATATCTGTGGTGAGCTATGGTTTCAGACAGTCATTGAAGCTCACTTTTCTCACCGCGATTCTTTGAAAATGGCCGAGCGTCTTAAGAGAAAAAAGTGTCTACGAAGTGTATAAAAAGATGAAGGCCTTAGAAGAGGCAGATATATCCCAGAATGCTTTGCGCGGAGAGCTCTCCTCACAAAGCATTATGGGATTTACTGTCGCACCAGCCCGCTGTAGCCATAGGCTGTCGTTACCCGACAGCGGGGGTAACAAAGATGGCGCAGGCAACGCGCAGTGGAAGAGGAGTTACATGAGCAACAGGGAGCAACAAGCAGTGATCATCTGCCTGAACCGTAACTTAACTGAGTTCACTATAAAGTCCACTGAATAGTCCCCACTCTTTATAGTGATTGAGAGATTTAGGGGTTAGGGCCGACGTTCGGACACAGTAAGCTTGAATGAGTTATGAGAACAGCAACTTTAAAACATGTATGAGAAATGGGCTCGTGCATGCTTTTGCACCTGTTTAGTAAGCGTTCCCTCTCGGGAGTGGGCACAGGGTTGTGCATGTGCATTTTTTTATTTTTTTTTTTAAGTGGAGAGGGCGGTCTTTTAAAAAAAATAAATAAAAATTGTGAAAATCCTCTAAAATACCTTTAAAGTGGACTATTAAACGAGACGCAACTATAGCTACGTTCAAATGAAGCCGAAGACGGTGCTGAGATAAAACTGTTAAAGTGTCATCACTTGATCTTAACAGCTGGTTCAAGCCTGAATTATTCAAAAGGGCAATGGATAATAAAAAAAAAAGGAAAGAAAAAAAGATAACTCTTTAAAAGAGTTATCCACTTCTGGAGAGTAAAATCAGTACCGAAAAAATGAAGGCAAATCAGAAATCTCGCCATTAAAAAAAAAAAAAAAGCCTTTTTAATAATACCTTACTTTTACAGAGTGAAGCATTTTAAAGAAAATAGTCAAATAATATAACACATAAAAATGCTAGTTATTATAGTTAGTCTCCCTATAATTACACACTCTGTACCTAACACAGAGTCCCGACCACATTGAATAACTTATGCAAAACAGTGAGCTTTGAATGCAAATAGGGGCCGACTGATGAGGGCAACAGGAGGGCTGCCTCAAGCCACATTTTCCCTGATACCTCCAGGCAACCTTCTGTTGAGAACTACCAAAGCATCCATCTAACTATTACTTCACAAAGTTTTGTTTTTTTTCTTTAACTTTAAACCATCATCAGATTGCACACAGATTACTACAAAACACTGCAACTACATGATTAACTTTACAGATGAATGATGCAGTTAAGGAGGATCTGTTTCTTCTGCTTTATGACACAGCTTGTGTGTCATAAAGCATAAAGGTATATGACACAAGCTGTCAGGTATCTTAGCCATAGTTATTAGTGCAATAGCAGGAAACATAGCCCCAGGGGGTACAGGATGGGTGTTGGAGCCAGAGCTGTTCTGGGATTCAATGCAGCAGAATAAAGTAACCACATTTAAAGCGAGACATGAAACAACATAACTTATCCAAGATTATAAGGCACAGTTTTGTCTTAAAAGACTTTAAGGGTGTGCTTGTTTTTATTTCTTACAACTGCAAACATAAATGCACCACGAACTCGCTTCCAGAAAAAGGCCATAGAGGCCCCGTATCCCAGGGATATGGGTCCATTTTTACCGTTAATTTCCTCAAATATAAAACTGGCTCAGGCTGGGTGTGTAGGAAATGGTTTGTAACATCATCTATGACATTTGATAGCTGTGGGTTGTTGCCGTTTTGTTGCGTTAGCCCAAAACAACGACACATGCATGAGCGTGTCAAAATGTCAAAAATCTCATTGGATCTAATAGGTGTTCTTTCTGCACAGTAATTAAGGAAGCTCCAGTCTTAATTAAACCTGCTACACTAAATCCATGCTAAAAGACATAACCCCTGGACACAAAAAACTTAAACAAAAGCTCAAGGTTGAAAACTGCTTAATAAAGTTATGTTTACTTGAATAGATGAGGTGTCAGCACCTTTAAATGGACTTTCCACACAGCTTTAATGGGGGGTGTTTGTACTGTGTGTCTTCATTAGATCAGGACTTCTTGCAAAATAGTAGAGCCTTCTCTGTTGACGGGACAACACATGTTCATGGAAACTAGACTGGCAACCTAGATCCAAAGTTTTAATAAAGAAAAAAAACATACAATTAGCTCCCTAACCTATCAGTCAAATCGGAATCAGACAGCAGGGTTTATCGACAGCGTCCAAGACCTTCATGCGTCTTTATTTGTCTCTGCTCTCTACCTGTCTGAAAGGTTGCATGCAACCGCTTGCACGGCTGTGAGCAGCACAAATTCCTTTCCAGCCCTCAGCCTGCCAAATCCTCCGTGCCTGGCTATCACAGAGTGCTTCACCAGTGTCATCAAGCCATGAGTAAAGCTTCATGCCTACCTACCTCCATTGGTGCAGCCCAGAAAGTCCCAGAACTGCATGATAGTGATCGATGAGCAGAGGATAACACCTCCACCAAAACTACTCCAAACGTCCTTGTGTGTTCCTCTCCTGTTTCTCTACTTCCTAGTTGCACCGTATGCTGTCATTTATAGAGGAGGAGGAAAAGAAAAAAAAACCCGCCTCCTGATCGTTTCAGACTGACACACCTGGGGGCTGAGTTTCACCTCCAAACAGCTGCCTCCTCCCTCTAGATTCACTTCCCACCGTTTTTCTCCACAGCTTCCTCATCTTTCCCACGAGTCTGTGTCCTTCATCCCTATCTTTGCACCACAGCAGTAAAGATTAATCCAGCATCAGCCTCTGCGCTGACATCCTCATCCCTGCCTCTTTATACCACTGAAGCAAAAGGGGGTAGACAGCTGAAAACATTTCAGTGGAAAACTCCCCTACAAATATCTAAAACATTGAGCATCAGTGAAATACATAAAAACATTTTCAGATTTAAGTTAAAACTTTGAGGATGGAGTAGTCACAGTTTTATATTTTATTTTTGAGAAATGTACTCGTTACATCAGCTGAAATAGTCAAAAAGAGAAGAAGAAGGTGCAAAAGGAAGAAAAAGGTGCAGGGGATTTATACAGTATATACAGTGCGTCCACACACATATATACATACGTACGTACGTATATATACATACATATTCATACATTTGTACGTACTTACATACATCACACACACACA